GCGCCCCCCCCCCCGCCGCACCGACACCTCCGCGCCCGGCCTGGCCGGCTCGCCGCACAGCCTGCCGGGACTTGTAGTCGCCGGCCGCGGTCACGTGGCCAGGCCGCCATTGTTGCCTAGGCGCGGCCCCGCCCCAGCCGCGGCGCGCACTTCCGTCTCAACAGTTGTCATGACGGCGGCCTGGCTTCCGGGTTGGAGGGTGTCACGTGATCCCCGCCTTGGGGGACGGCAGTCTCAGCAGCGTCTGCGAGGTGGGGGCTGGGGCAGGAGCCGGGGAGAGCACTGGTTGGTTCAAGCAGGACACGAAGTGAAGCACGTCTGCACTGCACACATCCCCGGGCTCGGGACTCAGGGTTATGTCCTGAACGGGTGTAAGCGGGACCTGGAATTTGTCTGGCAGCCTCGTTGGGGGCCATTTCTAATGACACCTACTCATTTAACACCTGCTGCTGTGGCTTAATTTCTTGATAGTAAAGGTGATTGTGGGACGGGGGCTTTGGCCTGGTAAATCTTCACACTGCAGTCCCGCTTGGCCACGTTCTTCTCTCGTCCTGTCTTAAAGTGTCGAATGGGTGGGTGAAACCAGTCCGCGGCTGCCTGCTTGAGCCTGCCAGCAATTAGGATGTGGTGATGTGTGAACGCCCCCGCGCCCCATTCATCTGAAAATGACTTATGGCCATTTCTGTGCCAGCATTGTCACCTGTTTTCCTGCTGATCCTTTTGTCCCCAGCACCCAGCCATTGCACCTCTCCCAGAACAGCTCCCAAGCCATCCCAGGTGCCAAAGGATTCAGCAGTTCCCTACTAAGATTTCCACCTCACCTTCTGGCTGCTTTGGCACAGATGTAAATGCTGTCAGTACAAAATGGTATGTTGAAATTTCGTGTAAAATGGATGGAACTGAGCATTAAAATAATACCACGAGCACTAAAGTGGTTGCATTTTTCATTTCCCCATGTCATCCATGACTAAGCTTTCGCTTAGCTGAAGGTGCTGTAGGATTCCTGTTCCCCATCCTCCCAGGTGCGATGTGGAAATCAGCAGGGCCAAAGAATATAGGTTCAGCTTGTTGCAGAAACATCCCACTGTATTTACCTGTACCCAAGAGGACTTTGACCCCCCCAGTAATTAGATTCTACATATGGAAACTGTGTACATTTGTTATAATTTTGCATATATAGAATCTAATTACAGGAGGGTTGTCTTAAATTTGCCTCCCCCCCCAAACCCAATCGCTGCAGAAGAGAAAGTAGCATCAGTGGGGGGCATGCAGTGGGGTGGGGAGGTTCACCCCTGCCCTCCTTGTATCTCCTGCAGTCTGCCCCCCTCCACAGCGGCTGCAATGCGCCGCGGAACTAGATCAGATTATACAGAACATATCACCCGAAGTTAGATATAAATATACTGCATCATTCCTTTAGCTTGTAGTAATGATTAGTGTAATTAAATGTACTGACTGTAGTTTTCTGGTAGATATTTGCATTAAGTTTCTTAGATAAGTCCTAAAAATAAAGCAGGTTTGTCACTTGGAAATATAAATAAGGCGAAGGGAAGGACATAAGGAATCCTCCCCTCCAGGTGTGGGACTTGCACAGGAGCATAAATCCCAACTAACTGACGCTTTCTACAGCCAAAAGATAACTGGTTCAGTTCAGTTCCATAAATTGAAGTGAAGCAAAGACATTTGAATAAAACCAATCAGAGAACAATGATGAGAATATTAAAATAAGCCATCTATAGATATTAGGGTATAGGCTGAAGCAAAAGGAGAGAAACTCTATGCATTCAAGAAGATTTGCTGCCAGTCTGTGGGCTACCTCCTGAAGCACCCCCTCCTCCTCACCCCCGCCCCACCAGCTGGTGAGAATCTGTGCTATCCTATATTATTTTACGGGGCAGCTAGATGGGCATTGGAGTAAGTGTTTGTTCTTGTGCTTTGGGGGTATGGGTGGCTTCAAGGATCAGGCTGTAAATGGTATCTCTTGTTATTCCTTTCTTTCCTCCCTGACTGAGTGGCGATAAAAATGAAGGGAATTGTAGCTGTGTCTGTATTCTGTGTCTAAGCTTGCAAAGAAGGTCCGGGTCACCGTCAGGCTGCAGTCTTGTCTCGCTAGAGACCAAGGTAACGAGGTTTTGGTCATGGGGAACTTGCTTGCGCCACCGCCCAGTTTTCTTGCCCATCACAAGACTTTGCTCCTTGCTCTGTGACTTCCCTTAATCTTTTTACCAGGGGCCTCATCAAAACAATGCAGCCAAGGCAACAGGAGAGAGGCCGTTGTAACCCTGACACGAGCTTTGACTGGATTGACCCAAGTGCCACCTAAATCTGGCCCTAATGAGCCTGCAGAAGGCCAAACACAGCAGGGGAGACAGGATGAAATTCCCATGTCCCTGCAATAGCACGACATTGTTCCTCCTAGAGGATGCTCACCCCTGGGTATCATCAGTCAGGTGGCCCTGCTCCTTTTTATCTCTGTTTTTCAGGGTTGTGCAGCTCCCGTCTCCTGGCTCAGTGGAACTGCAGCTGCTTTGCAACCTGGTCCCCTGGCAGAGCTGTCTCCTCCAGGTAAATCAGCAACTCTAAGGACCTCGTGGAGTCCTGCCGCCTGCACAAGGGAGCTGTGGACCCAGACTTTGTCCCCCTTCCTCCGGGGCGTTCGGTGCTGGGATGGGACTCAGCCTTGAGGCTTCTGCCCTCACATTGTCATCTACCGCCGCAGGGGAAATGTCTGCAAGATGGAAGGCGCTGTGGGCAGCTGGGATTGCCACCGGGTCCTGGCTTTCTTCTGGAGAGACACCTTTAACCCAGGTAGGCCCAGAAAGGAAAGAGTGAGAGCCAGAAGCTGTTGTGGGAGAAAAAAAGGCTGAGTTTTGAAATGGTGGTTTGAGGTGTTCTCATCTGGCAAGAGTCGGCTGCTTCTCCAGGACTGCTTCTCCTTGTAGCCAGCAGCAGATGGGAGCTGGGAGACCTGTGAAAACAAGTGGAAAAACGGTGGAGGAGGAGGCAGCCAGACTGCCCGTGGGGGTGGCAGCACTGTAGGCAGGCAGAGGTGGTGCGGGTCAGTGGGTAGGAGGGTTTGGGAGCTCTGGTTCCTGGCTGCACGTCTGCAAGGGATGGCATCATTAGGAACAGGAGGCATAATGAGGATTCAGCAAATTGGTTGCAACAAAAGGAGGCATCTTGGCTTCAGTGAGATAGGGGAGTCAAATCTGCCCGGCAGCTATAGTGGGACAGGGTTTCACATGACCCAGGGACTGATCAAAAATTTCAGTCAGAGCTAGGCTTTGTGTTTCCAGGTGCCACTCAGATGGAGGAGGTTTCTCCCTGCCCTTGCAGGACCAGCATTCCCATGTTATTTCCCACCCAGCCTGGGTTCTCCAGCCCAATCCTGAATCTTGGTTGGCTTTGGGGAAGCACAGAGACTTGTGGCCACTGGTCTGAACCCCTCAGTCATTGCTACTCCTCCTCTTTCCACCCCGCAGAAACCATCTCCAGTGCCCGCGTGCTCCTGACGGGTGCCAGCACTGGGATCGGAGAGCAGATGGCTTATCACTATTCCAGATCTGGTGCCGAAATAGTGCTGACAGCCAGGAGGGAGGCTGTGCTGCAGAAGGTGAGACCTCCTTCACATGGTAGAGGGCGGCAAGGCTGATGACTTGGGCCTAAAAACAATGAGGATGTAGGGCAGATCAGACATTTTCCATCAAACTGGTATGGGTAAGCTGCCCAGCCACATTCATGCCTCTCAGGCAGTACCACCATCTGACTCCTAGGATGCACCACCTCCCTCATCAGATTTGGAGGGATGGTGGGGAGAGATGATCTAGGAGGGAGCCTGACCTATGCAGGGTCACTGGAGCAGGTTGAACATTCAGAGCAGGCATCTCTGAAGAACAAGGTGGAGCAACACGGAGAGAAAACGCTCCTGAGGTTGTGTGAATGGTGTAACGTTCATCTTGACAGCTCCAAGCTCAATTCTGCACTAGGGCAGGGGGTCACAAGCCTAAGGCCTAGCATCACATTTCAAGCCCTGACTCATTGCTCCACGTCAAACAGTGCCGTGACAGTGTCAGAGGACCTGGCCCCTTCAGGCTTGTCTACGCTTGAAAAGTATTCCAGCTGAAAGAAAAAGATGGATTTCCAGCTCACTAGCTATTCCAGAATAGCTCTCCATGTTGACACCATTATTCCAGAATAAGAGAGGTTTTTTTTCTTTTAAGCTTAATCCACTTGGAAAGCGGATTTTGAGCGTCCGCACAGGGAACTCTTCCAGTTAATTTGCCCCCTGTAAACAAGACTTGAATGCATCAGGAGAATTTGGTCCCCTGTGTGTGATTGTGATTGTGTGATTATAAATTTGGATGGAAAAAATGTGTTTTTGTTCATCCTTGACCAAGGCAAGAAAAGAGGGAGGTGAGCAGGGAATAGGCTCCCTGCCCCTGCCCTGATAATGTACTTCAATTGGTTTGTCTGGGTCATTTCTCCCGGTGATGGAGAAATGTCTGCAGCTGGGAGCCAAGAAGGTCTTCTACATCCTGGCTGATATGTCCTCCCCTGCGGAGCCCGAGCGGGTGATGCAGTTTGCTGTGCAAAAGATGGGTAAGTATTGGTCTGTTGGAAGAAAAGCGACTGATGCTGGGGAGGAGGAAACAGCGGGGTGGGGTCTCAATGAGTCAGATCCCGGAGATCCAACCCAGCCGAGAGCAAAGCACTGTCCCCATGGCGGCTGCATGGGCAAGGAGGTGACATGGCATCAAAGGTGCCCGGAGAAGCTGATGGAAGTGATCCCCACCAAACTGCCTTTACTTTGCGGTTCCCTGTAAGCATCTGCTTCAATCCACCATGAGCTTGGGTCCAGGGAGGGGGGTGCATTGCTGCACCTCCTTTTCCACGGGGTGTGCATTGCTGCATCTTGCACTCATTAAGCTGGTCTGCATGGGTGAGAGCCAGATGTGTGGCATCAGCTTTCCTGGGTGCCCTGCCTGACCCACAGGGTAATCGTGGCTCGTTCTGCACTCCCCTCCATCTCCCTGGGTAGCTATTCAGCCCTCCTCACCGCAGAAGCACGATGCCTCTGTTTCCCCACCTCGGTCAGTGATGGGTGCATAGAGGGGGAGAGTTTTGATTGGCAGCATGAAGCAGGACCCAGACTGTGTATTGTGAGCTCAGCTGGTCAGAGCCAGCCCTTCTTGCTGTGCATGTCTAAAGCGGGGAAAGCAGAGGCAGGGATTGGCAACCTACGGCTTGTGGGCCAGATCCAGGCCATTTTATCTGGCCCGTGAAGCCCCGAGCATGCCTCTCTGCTGCAATTCTCAGCCCCTGGCTGCCTGACTTGGTGGGGGTGCTTTACTCAACTCTCACTGCCCCCTTGACTGCAGGGGGCCTGGATTACCTGGTGCTGAACCACGCTGATGTGCGACCCCTTTCCAGATGTGGGATGGGGATGTGGAGCATACCCACTGGCTTCTGCAGGTGGGTTTTCTCAGGGTAGGGGCCCTTTGGGGGTGGAGGAGAGGCGCAGGGAGGCTTGGCCCTTGCTGGGATCAGGCTGGGGGCAGCTCCCAGGAGCCGGTGGCTTCTGGCAGGGCTGCAGTTGGGCCCTCTGACTCCAGAAAGGGTGAAACAAAAGAGCCTGTGATGCTTTGCTCCTGACTGGAGGTAAAGAGGGAGGAGGGGTCTGAAAGCCTGCAGGTAGAGAGCTGAACTGATTACAACATCGCCGTCGTCTGTCCGTCTCATTGCCAAGGTACATGCTGCTGTTGGACCTAAGTGATGTTGTGTTACAGGGCTTTTGCAGCATGTGTATCCACGCTAGGCCTTTCTGTGGAGTCCTCCTGAGGTTAGGTTTTAGGACCCCAGAGGGGTTGCTGAGATCTGGTTATGAGAAGGCTTGAATCTTTTATTAACGTGGAAGTAGAAGCTGGGGGCCGGGGATAGAGAGGGGTAGCAAGGGGTGACACCCCAACTTCAGGGGAAACTTAAGCCAAGAGTTCCCTGTAAATTCACAATACAGGTAAGCTCAGGAGTCACGGTCCACAGCCAGCGTTGCCATGGTCGTTTGATTCGGAGTCTGACTGCCCATTGCTAGAGCTTGTCTGGGCTGTCGACCCCCACAGCACGTCACACGGGCTCTCAAGGACACGGCTAAAAGACAGCCACCTCCGGGGTGAGAGGCCAAATATTAGGTTATTCAGTGGCTATGTAGGGTCAGGAAGGAGTACTTTCCCCTGGTGCATTTTTGGGAAGGAAACATCTCTGCTGGAGAGGGGAAGCCTGTCCAGCTGGAGCAGAGGGTCGACGTAGCTCAGATCATCCTCCCTGCCCTGGCTCCTCTCCCAGCAGGGCCACCCAGCCAGACCCAATTTCCTCTGGGTTTCCCCTTCTCTCATTTTTTTTCTTCCTAGGGAAAATCGCAACCCCCTTCACCACTTCCTACTCTGCCACCAGATTTGCCCTGGATGGGTTCTTTAGTTCCTTGCATCATGAGCTCGCCATGCAGACGAAAGACGTGAGCATCACCCTCTGCGTCCTGGGGCTGATCGACACAGAGATGGCACTGGAGAAGACGAGGTGTGTATGTGTAGCTGCAACAGGATTTAGGTCCATGCAGGGCACTTCTGTCCATGTGTGTGCATGCGTGAGCACGTGTGAAGCCACGTGGGTGATATGCAAGACAACATGTTGCATTCAGGTCGGGGCTTCTGCGTGTGCCTCCAGACAATGCGTACTCCAGGCTGTTTGCATCCATGCATGCAGGAGTGCGCGTGCATCCCCGTGGAGGTGCGTGGATGTCTGTAGGCCTGCGTGTGATGCGTACAGCCCTGGGCTAGTCAGGGGCCAAGCGTCCAACCCTCGTGCTAGCTGTGACCCCTTTTCCGGACAGCTGAGCCCCTTCTGCTCCCTCTCTGCATCCCCCCCTGGGCCCAAAGGTCAGTTCTGTCTCAGCCTCCCACAATCCCACCTCCGCTGTCTGGCATATAGCCGGGGCTCTCCTCTCAGCCCCAGCCTCTCGCACCTGGGCACAGAGAGTCCACCGCTCCCCTCACGCAGGAAGACCTTCTTTCCACTCCTGTCTCCCCCCTGTCGACAGCCCCCAGCCTCATGGGATCAGGCTCTGAGCCCCCTTCCAGCCCCTTTCCAAAGGGTCGAGCCAGGCTCTGGGACAGGGGTTCAGGCCAGTCCAGCAGAGGCTTGGGCCCCTACAGGAGGGACACGTTCACCCTCTAGGGTGGGCGCTCGGCCCGTTTCAGGCCCTGAGCAAGCTCCATCCACCCTTGTCTTCCCCCTCCTCGGGGGATCCCCTCTGGGAACACTGCCCTAAATTTGTGGGGCTGTCTTGGGGTGGCAGCAGGGATGCAGAGGACCTAAAACACCCTCCAGTGCCACAGAGGAGCAGGAGGATTCTCCCATGCCCACACCCAAGCCAATACCGCCCTCCACCCCAAGCTGCCAGGGACGGATCCAAATCCCACCGGGGACTTAAAGGATCAGGACACGACAGGCAGAAGGGCCAAGCACCTGCAGCCGCCTGTGACCCCCAGCACTTCTGAATAGCGGGGGCTCCTTGTGCAAGTCGGGGCTGCCCAGCCACCACGAGGTGGCAGCATCCAGCAGCCGGCGCCAGCTGCAAGCCTCATCGTCCCCTTGTCCCAGCGACTGGCTTGGGAGCCAGCGGTCATGCCACCCCTCTCCAATAAAGGGGCTGTTTCCACCTGAGCCGGGTTGTGCTGGAGTCAATCCCAATGCATTCCCCATTGCATCCTCTTGGCATTCAACAAGTGCGGATGGGCTGGAGGAGGCCGCTCGGGGCCCGTCGCTTGATAGTGCCGCTGGTATCGCAGTCATCTAGAGGTGTTAGCAGAGATCAGGGCACCACCATGCTAAGTGCTGTACATACCATATGATCTGATGTATATGACACATGCTTCGTGCTGAAAATGGAGGTCTAAATTAAGACGCATCTTATACCCCGCCGTGATGCAATGAAAAATCACTAGATTTCTGTCCATTTTTATGACACGTTTATGGTTAAATATTCTCCCCCCCACCGTTTCATCCTTTTTTCCCTTTTTGCAGGGTATTCTTTATACATCACAAAATGCGGCACCTGTAGTAAGAGGCTGCACCAGCCCCAAAGAGCTCGCAACCAAAACCGGCAAAAGGAAGGTTATTACCCTTACGTTTCGCTGAGTGCCAGAGAGGTTAATGGACATGGCCAAGGTGATGGAGGATATCTGTGGCGGGGCTGGGCATCCAGCCCAGCTTTCCTGGGCCAGTCCTGTTATCCCCGAGTCTGCCCAGCACCTTCACAAGCTGGATTATATACCACCAAAGCAGATCCATGCTGGGAAAATAAGCTCTGAGCCCAGCTGTGCCACTTCTAGACCCATTGGAAATGTCCAAGTGTCTCCCCTGCCAGATCCACCTGGGAGAGGCACGGGTCTGGACCTGAATTACACCCTCATGTAAGTCTGTTGGGAACAGAGATGAAATTATATGCTCTCAAGCTGTCTGGCAACCATGGCGAGGATATCTTGGGGACGGTGTAGAGGGCAGAGGTTCTGCTTTGCCACATGGTTAATGTTGCAGGTTTCAGGACGTGCCAGCGTGTTCAGGATCAGAGCACAGGGAGCCCCACTGAGCAGGCCTGTGCTGCCTTCCTGGACCCGCAGCCTGTGTGTGCAAAGGTCTTGCACGGCCACACGCACAGCAGACGTGCAACTGCAGGAAATGCACGTGGAGCGGCAGCAGAGGGGCGCCCAGCATGCACAGGCCCGCTGGTATGTGGCTGGGTACATGGTTCACTCTGGAGGGGCAAGCATTGGTCATGCTATCTCATGCCCCGCTCAGTCCCTGGCATGGAGATGAGCTGCCAGGTGTCTGGGAAGAAGAGCTGTGTGCAGGAGGGGAAAGGAAACCACTTTGAGCGGGTGCAGGAGGAGGAAGGAGGAAGGTGGTCTTTCAGGGACTTGCTCCCCGTCACCAAGGCAGGCAAAGAGGAGCCCGTCCTCACAATGCAGGGGATGCTGGCAGGAGTTGCAGGGGGGGAGACCCTAGCTCTGCCCAGGGAAATACCATGACCACCAAGGTGGTTTTCCTACTGGCAGGGGAAAACCACGACCATGGCAGGGGGCAGTACCCTGACCGAGGTAATGCAATTAAAAAAGCGCTGTGTAGTGGAGGGTTGTACCCTGGTCTGCTCGCAGACAGGACTTCCTACAAGAGCCTCATAGTTAGCCTCCCAGTTGGATTTCCAGTGGGAATAGGAGACTCCTCCCTAGCTTGCTCCTGCAGCCGTATGGCTGAGGCCAAGCAAAACTCGGGGGTATCCAAACCCCGCATCTCCAGGCTGGGGCTTGCACGTCGGATGCCCGCCAGAGGATTTGGAAGCATCGGGGGTGGAGGATGCTTGCTGGTAGCCCGGTTCTTGAAGGATTCACATGCATTTTGGAATTGACTTGGCTGATTGGACTTGGGGCACGAAAAATTTTCAACCCCACCCCAAAAACCCCCCTGAGTCCCTGCAGCAGGGACCAGCAGAGCAGTTGAATGGCCCCCCCGGGCAATTAAACCCAGTGCCCTGTCTCCAGCCAGCAGCCCCCTGCGTCCCAGCTCTGGCTGCATCGTTAATGCCAGCGGCCTGCGCTGGCCACTGACAAGAGCCTTTCTGTGGCGTCCGTTCCTGGGAACGGAGCCAGTCGCACCTGAAGCCGATTAAGGTGGTTAATCCTGGCTCATAAAGCCCAGTCTCCCACAATGTGCCGCACCTTGCTTTGCAGGCTCCACTGAAGGCCCTTTATGGCTCATTTATAGGTGGGAGCAGGCAGGCTGTTTCCCTGCATCAGGTGCTTGTGGAGGATGGGGTCCCCCTGTTGCAGGTGGGGGGGGGTCCCTGCCATAATCCCCCCCTGCTTTAAGTGGGCTGTGCAGCCCTTATGCCCCAGCACTTTGTTTCAATGGGGAAGCCCCTTCTCTCCCCTTCTGCTTTTTTGCCCCCCCTGCCCAAGCAGGAATCTGGTTGGGGTTTTTTGTTGTTGTTCCTCCTGAATTTTCAGTGTCCTCTTTGAAGCCTTGCTCCCCCGAGCTGAGCTGGGGAGGCCTGAATCCGGGTGATGCTGAGAGCAGCCTGGAGGGTGTTTGCACAGGACCCCAGGATCCCACCTGTCGGGGTCTGCAAGGACCTGGACCCCCAGCACAGAGGGTGGATCAGGCTGCTCTGGCTTAAGCAGTGGGTCTCCCGGTCCTTGTGGAGCCCTGTAATAAGGAGGGGGTATTAGATACTGCTCTGCCCCGGGTTTGCATCTCTGAATGGTGCAACTGGGCTCTGGTCACGGGCTTAGCCGCTGCGTGAGCCTGTAGCAGGTGCGTGCATTGCTTTGTGCGTTATTAGCTGAGCGCCTGTGTGGCTGGTTTTAGACCTACCGTCACTAATAACGGTTAACGATGGGCTTTTTTGGTAGCGCCCTTCGCTGGAGCAATTTGCAGCAGACGGGCCTATGCTGATGTCCTG